GTAAATTCCCTGTCTGGTCTGGCAAAGATAAAGTAAGGAATAGCCATAAGTGGTGAGATGCAAGGGGAGAGAGTTCAACAGAAGCAGAGATACAGAGCTGGGATTAGCTATGAAATTCACAAAAGTGTGGGAAAGGGGGCTAGAGCCAACTTTATATGAATCTCTGAGATGGTTAATTATATGTATCCATTTAACTGGGCCACTGGGTGCCCATATATTTACTTAAATACTTTTTCTGGATGTTTCTTTGAGAGTGTTTCTTGATGAGAATAACATTTGAATCAGTAGACTAAATAAAGTACATTGCCCTACCCAGTGTGGGTGATCCTTGTCTGATCTGTTGAAGGTCAGAATAGACTAAAAGGCTCAATAGGAAAGAATTCTCTCTTTTTGTCTTCAAGCTAGGACATCAGTTTTTTCTGTCTTTGGTCCTTGGACTCAGCCTGGAACTTACGGCATCAGCTCTCCTGGTTCTCAGGCCTTTAGACTTGGACTGAAACTATACCATTGGCTCTCATGGGTCTGGCTGGACTGCTCAGCCTCCATATCATATGGGCCAATTCTGTATAATAAATCTCTTTATCCATCTATCTATTGATCCACCCACATACTTTCTATTGGTTCTGTTTCTCTGAAGAGCCCTGACTAATAAATCCCCAAAGACAGTGTCATCTGCTGATGTCTGGGTTATGCCTCTAGTTTGTGTTTATTTTGCTCTGCCTTGCACTGTCTTTAGTTTGTTATGTATCTGTCTCCCCCACTAGACTGTGAGCTTCTATATCAGGCATATTAACATTTTTGTTGCCGTGGACTCCCCTGGCAGTCTGGTGAAGCTGATGGATCCCTTCTCAGAATCACTTTATTTTCCTGCATATTATACAGTATACAGGTTTATAAAGGAAATGAATTATACTGAAATATAGTTATTAAAATATTAAAAACAAAAAACTGTGCTACAATAATAAGTGCTTTCTTTACACATTAAATAGAAAAATCCTGGGGTAGGTCTAAAAAGTACCGTAATTTTGAAGTACTGATGAGCATAACTGATGTTTTAAGATATTTGATTCATCTTTAATGTGACAATGACAATTTCTGTGACTTCTCCGATGACAAAGTTACAGGTACAGTTCATAGTACAGTACTCCCCCCTTATCTGTGATTTCTCTTTCTGCAGTTTCCGTTACCTGTAGTCAACCATGGTCTGATGACATTAAATCGATAATTCCAGAAATAAACAATTCATAAGTTTCAAATTGTGAGTTGTTCTGAGTACAGTTATGAAATCTCATGCTGTCTCGCTCTATCCTGCTAGGATGTGAATCCCCCCTTTGTCCATGATGTAAACACTATCTGCCCGTTAGTCACTCAGTAGCCCCCTAGGTTATCAGATTGGAAAAAAACATTTTATATATAGGGTTCAGTACTATCTGTGCTTTTTCGGGCATCCACTGTGGGTCTTGGAATGTGTCCCATGAATAAGGGGGAGACTACTGTACTATGATGTATTGTCTACTGCAGTCATAATTGAAGACGATGCTAAAGTTGAGTTAAGGCTGGTAAAAATAAACATACAAATTTTCCCCAATTCGAGTTCACAGAGCCCCTGAATTCTATACCAGGCATCCAAGGGGTCATCTTTTCTTTTATATAATCCTGTCTTTCCCTGAGAGTCCAGCATGGTATATAGCATAAAGCAGATGATAAAAAAAAAATGGTTGCAGAATTTAATTGTCATGCAGACCTACTGGGCCAAAATTGAGCTACCCTGAACTGATTTAGATTATATTTAAACTCATAATAAAAGGAGAGAGATTTAAAGGAGGATAAAGGGAGAAAATGAACAAAAAATCATTCTATCTGACCAAGATGCTTAAACCTGGGCTATAGTGTCTCACATTTTTCTTTACCAGTATATAAACTTCAATGATTGTGATAAAAATTGTTGGGAAGATCTTAAATTATAAATCAAATAAACCCCAAATCCTTTAATACTCACCACCAAAATGTATTATATTTATATATTCCCTTGAAACTATGTTAAATTGCAATGGCCTCAGTAATATAAGCTTTATAGTGTTTCAGGCTGGGTTTTCCAGAAGCTAATTCTGCAATATAGGTTTGTGTGCACGCACACGTCTTATGGAGTGCTCTCAGGAGAAATCTATAACTGAGTAGGAGAAGCAGGAGCAGGCAGGGGAGAGGAGCTAAGAAAGGGTGTGATTTTTAGGTGAAGTCCAGCCTCAGAAAGAGATCATGGGGAGCTCCAGAACTTAAGTCGCATTGCAGTTTGTCATGCCTTGAGGCAAGGGGTTCCTGTACCTGTCAGTCATCGGCTTTGGGCTACTCAATTTAAACTCAAGTTTACTTGGCACTTGTGGCTCTCTAATCTTATGGAAAATTCCAGTCACCCAAAGGTAATGCTTTAATGAGAATAGAAGGTGCAAGTCCTTAGAAGTAAAGCACATAGAAACTAGGAAATGAGAGGGACCCCGGGGGATCTGAGTGCAGCACTGACAGCGTTCACTGCAACTAGTAAATCAAGGGCAACACAAACCAACAATAGGGCTAATAATTATAGCCAGCAATTATTGAGTGCTTCCTGTTTGGCAGAACTGCTCTAAGCTCTTTATATTAGCTCATTTAATCTTCCCAACAATCTTATGAGGTAGCTAATATTCCTATTTTGTAAAATGAGAAAACTAGATTTATCTATGGAAGCACCTTGTCTAAAGTGACATAAAGATTTCACGGTGCAACCAAGATTTGAACTCTGGATGTGTGATTCAACAGCATATACTCTAAACAACATGCCACTCACTTTAGCATGACGTCTCAATACACAATGCTGTTAGGAGTGGCAGAGCTTGAGTCATCTGGCCTGAGCTCATATCTCGGACAAAACAAGACAACACATCTAATGCAGTTAGTGCAGAACTAACAATAAATATTAGCCACTTGTTAAGAAAGAATGGAGCAAGACATAGCTTTAAAAAAACCTATGCTCTATTAAAGTGTCTCTTGGGTCTACAAAAGCCTTTCTTCTGCTATTCTCCAAAAAGTTTAAAGAGCCAAGAAATCAATGACTTGACAGCTCTGTTATATATTACACAATTTGGCTGAATTTATTTATAAAGAATAAGGAAAGAAGACAAGGGAAGAAAAATAGAAAGAGAAAAAGGAAGACAGAGTATAATAATTATTACTAAAAGTTATTGATAATGACAGAAACAAATATTCTGAGAAAAGTCCTATTGATTATACTTCAGTGTTTCTAGGGATCTGGTTATTAAATTTTTTCTTCCTAAAGGGAGTGATTTTTAATACCTTTGAGAATGTCATCTATTACTAGTTAATATGCCATCCCCTATGAACAACATAACTTTTTGCAGTGCATTAGACAGTTTAGCCACTTTTTATGACTGGACTACTAATGCCAAAAATATTTCTGATTTTTTAAAAATTATTAACTGCCTTTAGTTGCTACCCGAATTCTAGGCATAGAAAAAGGTTTTCATCAAAAACTTTGTTTCTTGGATAGGTGCTGTGGCTGACACCTCTAATCCTAGCACTCTGAGGGGTGGAGGTGGGAGGATTGCTTGAGGCCAGGAGTTCCAGATCAGCCTGAGCAACATAGCCAGATCCGGCCTCTTCAAAAAACAGAAAAATTAGCCGGGTGTGGTGGTGCACGCCCGTAGTCCCAGCTACTGGGGAGGCTGAGGCAGGAAGATCGCTTGAGCCCAGCAGTTTGAGGTTGCAGTGGGCTATGATGATGCCACTGCACTCTAGCCTGGGCAACAGAGCAAGACTCTGTCTCAAAGAAATATCCCCCTCCCAAAAAAAACAAAACAAAACAAAAAAAAACCCTTTGTTCCTTCAAGATTGGTTGAATATCTTGGAAAATGAGCTCTTTCCCACGAAATAATTATCAGTAAAGAATATTCCAATGTATTTTCAATTCTAAGGATTCTAGTTGCTTCAGGCACATTGAAGATTTTTGCAACATGTGAAAACAATCTGCTTTCTCCTCACGTGAAATAAATATAAGCTTCTGAGTGTGGTTTGGGGAGCCATAGAAGACACAAAAGCCACACATTGCATAGTTGGCAGTGACTGAGGCGAGAACTCTGTTTATTTCAGCTCTTTTCTTCTGGGGTGAGATGTAATAACCAAATATATTTAAAAACCAGGACAGTACAGGCAGCAACCAATCACAATGGATGTTCCACCCATCCAATCAGAACAGTGATATGACTATTCAGAGCAGATGGTACAACCAATGAGAATGGATGCTTACTGAAACATAGGTGAAGTCGTACCCCAGAACTAGATAAGTATAAGCCCTCTCTACAATGGATGTAAAACTCACTGTGCCCATATCACTGAATTTTCTTCACACAGTAATTTATTTCAAGAAATTTAAGTGATTTCTGGGGTACCATGGGAACTTTTCACTCTCCAGATTCCTTACTCCTCAGCTATGGTGGAGGCAAATCGCCAGTAAGACTGATCTTAGAAAGGCATTACAAATAGATATTAGCTAACATTTATTGAACACTCAGGTGCCAGGCACTGCATAGGTATTATCATCCTTAATCTTTACAACAATCCTATGAGGTGGGCACTATTATTATCCTTGTTTTACTGATGAGGAAACCAAGACATAGGGAAATTGAGTAGCTTGATCAAAGTCACACAACTAATACATGCCAGAGCTAATACTTAAACTTGGGTAGTCCTTCCTCTTAAGTACTAGCTATGATATTATTAGCAAATGAGTGGTCTTATCGACACCATATTATTAGCTCAATTCTATCCTCCCGTCTGACTAAAGGGTGAAATGTCAAAGATGTTTTCTAATATTTGGGCTACTGCTGGGAACCCATGAAGTCCCTGAGCAACATCTGTCTCCAGTTTGGTTGCTTTTGCCTTATTTCTTACCTAAATTGCTTCAAACAAACAAAGCAGTCGTGGAGGGCTGAAAAATAAAAGAATATTACCTTATTCTCTTGTCTTCCACTTTTTTCAAATATTCATCTCTCTTTAGGACTCCCAGAATCATTTCCTTCTCATGATCTAATAAAAATGACAGATTGATGAACTCCGAGTTCTTAGACATGGTATTTCAACAGCAGCTCTAAGTAGCAGTGGTTGATCGATTCAGAAGGTGAAATTGATAGCTACAATTGTTAAGGTTCCCCCTGACCAACCCAGAGTCACTCAGCTGTTTGGTGTAAAGTGGATTTTATATGGTCGCCACAGAATTGTTGGTGGTGGTGTGGTATTCTTTCAGGCTATACAGAAAACAGGATCCACTGATATTACACTCCAAAAAAATCATTATTGTTTTAACTGAACAAGATCTCCAAAGCCTTTTGCTGTGGTGTGCAGTCAGGCAGCAGCTGACTTTCACTAATGATGCTCAACTTCAATCCTTCAGAAAGATACAGAGCAGGAATCAGATCCACTGGGACAGAATGCAGAAAACACTGAAAAGGTGGAGAAAACAAAGGAGAGAAAAATTAATTAGGCCATTTTTCTCATAGCACTTGTAAAACTGTCTAATTTTTCAAATATTGATGTACCTAACTCAGAAACCTATGTTTTAAATTAGCAAACTCACATTTATTAAGTATTTATTTTGTGGTTTTTCTTTACTATGAAATGTTATTTACAGTTAGTTGATTCCCAGTTCTCTATGCAAATTTAGTTTCCAACATTATAATTAGCTTCCTCTGTTAGCCAGATACTACTGCCACTCTTGCGGCTGATCCATGGGTGAGTTGGGTCACCACTTTGGGATGCTAAGTGCACAATCTGCATTGTCCACAACAGGTCAGAGCCCTTAAGTGACTCCCTCCATCTCTTTCCCTTCCTTCCCACAACTAGGACTACAGCATAAAAAGCATGGTTGGTTAAACAAATAAGAACCGATGTTACATGTATCAACCTAAATATATGTCACAAACAATGCTGAATGAAAAAGTTAGGTTACAGAAGAATTCATGAAGAATGATAGCATATATATGAAGGATATAACTTGCAAAAAATATTATATGTAATTTACAAATACATCTGTAGTAGTAATATAGGCGAATTCACGGGAAATTCAAGATCATGATTACTTCTAGGGGACAAAGAGAGACAATTAGAGAGGAGAACACAGGGGTATCAACTGTATTGGGTAATATTTTACTCTCAAAATGGATGTTTATATCGCATGATGTGTGTGGTTTTTTGTGAATTATTCTAGGTATGCGTGATATGCCGCAAATTAGATGTTTTAGAACTACTGCCTTGTCAGCATAAGAAGCTCACCAGGCCATGTCCCTCATTCTAACACTTAAGTACATTCTTTCATTGGTTTGGTACCTGGATTCTATCTACACAGCCCCTTAAGAATGATGACTCTTACGATGATCTACTGGTTTTTTTTTTACTGGGCATCATCCCATGATACTGTCCCTCAGCTTCCTCCCAGGTCTATGAATTGCGGTCTACATGCAAATTACACTTGGTTTGCTTGGCTCTAGCCACGCTTCCAGGCATAACTAGATACATACCAAAAGGCTGCTTTGGGGCCTCCTGGTAACCATAAAGTCAGGCTGATCTCAAAATATAAGGATATATGAAAAGATAGGTTCTTTTCCAGAGCTTTCCCAACTTTCCAAAGCCCTCATGTATTTATTCTATACAGTGTACACCAAACCAGAACTTTGCTGAAATGACTCAGAATTGAACCGCATCCTACACGCAAGAGCTAGCCCCCTCCGAGGAAAGTGCCCAGGTGATTGCAGATTCTCTGGATTTATTCCAGGCCTTTCCCCTATCTCTAAGGCCCTAGAGGCAGCAGGGATCAGAAGGCTCCAAGATCGAAAGGAACAGAAAACAACCAGGTTAAGAGCAAAAGGGCTCTTCAGAAAGGTTAATGGTTTGGTTTTTGCCTTACTGTCAACTGCAGTCTCTTCAGATAAAGAACACATTTTTCCCCCCTTTGTGTGTCTCATCTGGTTTTATGCTGAAACGGAAAAAAATAATTGGAAACTCAGTGAATGACTATGTTATCATTACAGCCAGGTTCACTGAAGACATATTTTGTATTTGAAATGTCAGATTTAAAATGTTCTACATGAATGTTCTGTAAAAATGTATTTAGAAATTATTTGACGGGTTGGGAGATATAAAAATGCTTGACTTGAAGCTTATGGCTTGTAAACACAAGTCTGCCTTCCAAAAATCCAAGGGTCTGCCATATGAGGAGAGTAAAGAGAGAGAAATAACACTATGGGTAGCACATGAAGGTAACAGAGAAAATGTGAAATCAAGCAAGGATATAAGAGAAATAAAATTTCCCATTGAGAGCTTAATTAACCAAATTAGCCTTAAATGGATTTTCACCCATCTGTACTTGGACTAACAGACAAATAGTACCTGGACTACTGTATAAATGGGTGGCCAAGGATATCAGAAGTAGGCAAAACTCTATAAAGAAAATCAGGATGTTTCCTGAAGAAGGCAGGATTGGATTCTGATTGTAATTTAGTAAAATGGAATCTGATTGAGGATGCTCTAGTTCTTCTGGAGAAATACAGAGTGGAGAAAAGTAGACAGCCTAGGGATAGACAAAGGAGATCTAAGGAGCTAGTTGCTGATGGTGCCCATCCAGACTCCAACCAGAGAAATGAATGAAAATGAAAATAACTTCTTTGTTCTCTGTAGCACATGTTCCATACTGGATGATGGAACCTTGGTCTGGCAAATTTTCATGCGATTAATCATTCAAATCATACAACAAATTCCCCTTCTTCTGATTTCACTTCTTCCCAGACACTTCTGATTGTAAATTGGCTTCACATAGAATTCTCCTTTCAGGAGTGAATGTTCTCATCTTGCCTACAGAGCCCTCCATATTTGGTTTAGTTCGAACCCATGTCAGATCTGTTTGCTGTGTGCTGACCAAATAAAATTTCATTGAGGGCCAGTATCTGGGCTATGTGATGAATTTACCTAAGGATGTATTATCACTTGCTGCCTCTTTTCAGCTAGTTCATAGCCCCACTTAAAGAATTCCTTACCCACTACACACACTAATCAAGTGGAAAAAAGATGAATAGTTGATCCTCATTCTTTTAGTTAAATGTGCCCAATAAAACACTAGACAGATTTAAAGGGTGAAATTCATTTTTATTTTATTACTTTTTTCCTTAACTTAAACATATCTCTCTCTTTAAACATTTCAGATGTGGATTTTTTCCCTCTCTGGCCAGTAGCCTTGCTGAACTATAAACTATTTAGAAAGATGACAAAATGGGTTATATATCATTCTGCTGCCTATCAGCATAGCTTTAGACAGGTCATTAACTTGTGATCATCAAAAAAGATGCAGTAATCAAAAATCCTCACAGCATCACACAAAGTTTAAAAAGCACCTGTTTTGAGTAACACACACTTAGAAATAGTAAGGGTCAATATCTGAGTCAAAGGAAAGGGTATATCTGAATATATCTCATTCCTGGGTACTTGAAATGCAGCTTTAAAAACAATGTTTCTGGGGGTGCTCTTAGGATGAAATTAATAAAAATAAGTTAATTTCCTGTTTACCTTTTACTGTGTGACAACACAACAGTTAGACGGATTTTCAGCACATCTAGAGGGATGTTTAGGATGCTTAGAATACAAGCTAAATCACATATGTAACATTCACTTAAGGGTGCCTTTCCAATAGAAGTGCAGTCATCCTATAGGGCAGCTGTAATTGGAGTACCACAAACACAAGAATCCACATGATTGTCAAAAGGCGAGAACTGCTATAGAGGCAAAGATGCTGCTATGGAGAAAGAAAAAAAATAGTATTTTCCTATAATCCCCAAGCTGAAAGACTCAGGGGCAGATGCTATGGAATTGCAGGCATTTATTTTCAAGAGAGCAGTTTGTTCTCACATGGGCAAATCTGTATGGTATATTACAAGGGAGAGCAGTAGCCAAGGTTTTTTTTTTAAAAAATTGACAATGATATTGACTTTCCAAACAATAACAGGAAGGCCAACTAACAGTGACATCAATCTTATATTGATGCTTCAAGAGTAACATTCCACAATAATAACAGCTAACATTTTCTCAATGAATCCTTATGGGTCCCTCATGAAATAAATTCTATTATCCCTATTTTATAGATGAGAAAATTGAGGCATAGAGAAGTTAAATAACTTGACCAAGGTCAAGCAGTTAGTAAGTAAGTAATTCAGAGCAGTCTGGTATCAGGGACCCTGCCTGTAACCACTACATTTGACTGCTTCTCGGTGCCTCTATGGAAAAACAGTATCCCACAAGATGTTATTAGATATTCCATTTAATTTTTAAAAGTTCTGTAGTCCAACAAGAAATCTGGATATGTAGAGTTAAACCAAGTTAGGAATTTTTTTCTTCTGTGGAGCTTCTATTGTGAATTTTCACAGAACCCTCAGTTTGGAAAAAGATATTTAGCATTATTTGTTCTTATCTTGGCATCATGTATTTTGACACTTTTAAAAAGAAGACTATTTCTACCTTAAAAAAGCTGGTTAGGAGAAAGCCTTAATAATACATTCATGAGAAAGATTTGAAAGAAAAATTAGAAGATACATTTACATTATAGCATAATTATCAATAGTGGAAATTTTGAAATAGCCTAAAGTTACAGCAATAACTTTACACATTGTGCAATTTTAAAATAAAAGTATTTAAATATATATTGATATGCAAAATATCTAAGCTACATTGTTAGTTGAGAATAGGAAGATAATTATGGTTTTATGCTTTTAAATGCATATTCACTTAATGCAATGCAGTAGATATATGCATACATACTACATGTAAATACACATACAAAGACACAGAATGATACATACTGATCTGTGAATCAGGTCACATATAGAGATTGGGGTTGAATTGTCAAGGGTTAGAGGAGGGATGAAAAGGGGCTTATTTTCATGTTCATTATTTTGCACATGTTCATATAAACAAACATGTTCATATAAACAATGGTGACTGAAGTTAGAAGAAAAAGAGAGAAAGAGGCCAAAAATAATTTCAAGAATCAGATCCTAAAAGAATACAGGTGGCCTTGCCAGCAATAGGGAAGTTGGGCGATGTGCTGGCTTTGATGTGCAATAATGAATTTGGGTTTCAGATATGTTGTAAATTAGGTGACACCACTCTGGTACATCACATCACAGTTTTCTGTCTCCATTCTTGCTCTACTATATGGGATTCCCCCAAAACACAAATTTGACAATTGTCACTGTCATACTGAAAGCCGTTTAATGTCTTTCTTTTGCTCTTAAGGGTTCAAATTGTTTAATGTGGTTTAAAAAACCCTTTGCAATCTGGTATTTTCCCACCCTACTTTCACATATCTATACTCTAACCACAGTCAACATTTCATTCCTCTAAAGAAGCCATAATCTTCCTCACTTCCAGATCTTCCTACTTGGAAGACTGTCTGCCTGCA